TCTCTCTCTCTCTCTCTCTCTCTCTCTCTCTTTCTCTCTCTACTACAATGCATACATGTGTGCATTAGATCAGGGAACCGTTGTGCTGCACTATGCTGAAACAGCATTTTCAGCATTTGATTTTCTACCTGCGAACGAACGAAAAAGAAGAATTTTGCATATGTTTTCTTTGACACACATTCCGTCGTCGCTCGTCGGCACTATCGATCAATGCTTGTGCGCATGAGGCAATTGTCATTCTCGTTAGCTTTTTTTTTTCCTTCTTTACTTTGTGTTTGCAACATTTTGCCGGCACACTGGTACACTATCGTTGTCATTACAAACCCCACAATCGATTTTCACACGTGAACGAGCACAGATCAGAACTTGTTTTATTCCGAAAAAAAAAATCTATCTCGTGTTGCAATTCGATCCAAAGCAAAAGGAGAAGAGAAGAGAAAAAATCGCACGCACTCGTCATTTCTGGTTGGCGGTGCAATTTCGATTGAGTAAATTAGCTAAAATGAATTCTTCTGGAGCAGTTTTTTCCTAATTTGGATTTGGTTTACATTTTTTTTTTTTTTCTTGTTTTGCTACAAAAACTAGTTGAAGGCATTTGAAACGCCGTCACTTCGTGCTGCATTAGAAACTGCCAAAGATAAATTATTGGAATCACAGCATAACTTAGAGACCATGCGCACCAAATGCAACTATCTCGAAGAACAAATGATTGCAAAGGAAAATCTCTTCAGTACACATCAGCTCACACTGAAAGAAGCCAGCGAACGTGAACTGGAAAAATGTGAGTTTGCATTTTCGATTTATAAATATTTAGTGTGTGCGTTTTATCAAAACTAATTTCGAAACTTTCTTTTTTTTTCTTCTTTCTTTTTTTGGAACGAATAAAAAAAAATTTAAAAAAAATGTGGCGTTTAGTTAAATTGAGTATACGCGAAACTGAGAAATCGGCACAGGAGCAAATCCAAACGTTGCAGTATGAATTGGCTGAAATCAATCAACGCAATGCCGAAGCATTGAAATCATGCCAAATGAAAGCAGACAGACGATGCAGTGAACTGGAAAAGCAACTGCAACTGTCCCGTGACAGAGAATTAGAGCTAGTGCAACGGTTGAACAGTTTCACTGTAACGGAGAATCAATTACGCGATAAAGTGCAAGCTAGTGAACAGGAGTTTAGTGAGCGTTTGATTGCCGCCACCGCACGTGAACGTGAATTAAATGAAAAGGTTGCACAGCTAATGCGTCAATTCAAAACCGGCGAAGATAAACGGTATGAATTGGAAGAGAAACTGAAATTGGCCAACGATGAAACGAATGTGTTACGACGACGGCGCAACAGTAGCGAACATTCAATACCAAATGGCAATGTTTCGGTACCAAATCCATCGGGTAGTTCGACGATGCTCGAGGAAGAAGTGTTAAGCCTGCGATGTGTGTTGGACATGAAATTGAATGAAATTTCGGAGCTGCGAAAGCAAAATCAGTCAATGGTGCAGGCTCAGGATGAATTGCCCAAAGCACAGCTCAAAATTTCCATTCTAGAAACACGGCTTGAGGACCTCACTATTCAGCTCAAGACTAGAGTCGAAGAAGAACAGTAAGATTGAAATAAATCATAGTTTTTTCGTTTAACCAATGTCACTAATTCCGCTTTTTTTTGTCATTTTACAGAGAGCTGTCAATGCGAAACCGAAGCCTACAAGATACGCTTTGTCAAGAGGTGAAGAATCGCACACGGTTGGCCCTTCACAACGAAGAATTGCAATGGAAACTGAAGCAAAACTCGGAAAAATACACCACAACATTGAGTGAACTGTCGAAAAGTTACCAAGATCCATCACTGCTGGCCGATTTCAAGAACAGCTTGTACGCACCGATTTCGGAAACAAGCCACGAAAACTTTAGCGATACACTGCAAATGGGTACATCGCCACCGTCATCGCCGGTGGTCAAGGGTGTCGTTGAGAAATGTGATTCAGTGTCATATGTATTGGAATTGAATGACGACTTGGAATCAGCCGAAGCAGTGGCCAGTCGCGTAGTCAAACGAGCCGGATCGTTTCGAGTGAATAATTTCAAAGAGCGTTCACCATCGTTCAAGCGACAATTATCACTTGGAGGTGCGAATGTGCTGTGCCAATCGGCATCAGCCACCTCATTGTCACGGCAACATTCCGATTCACCAGTCAAGAATATTGGTGCATCCATTAAACTACAAAGAAGTTCCCGCACACGATCCAATTCGCTGAATGCAAGCAATGAACCAAAGACAACACCGAACCATCATCACCGTTTGCCCGAGATGACACCCATCGATTACACAAAATGGCAACGTTCACTGAGAACAACATCGACAAGCAGCCCATTGTCTTCACGGCCACACAAGAGTGATGGTCAAGCGAATGGGTTAACTGAAGTCGATTCGGTGAACAGAGAGAGCATTCGATCAAGTTTCACATCGGTAGATGATGTTGAATGTGATTTGGCAAAGGAATACATGTCATCGTCACGAAGTGACATATGTACAACATTGATTCCGGTACAAAATGCGGCTGATAAGCGCCAACACATGAAAAAGCGTCAACACATCAAAGAATCGGCCGGCGAAGCAATGGTTTCACAGCAAAGTGAAGACGATCAATCGTCTGGCTCAGAGATGGATTCAATGTCAGCATCGTCGAGCAGCGCCGCATCACCGTCGCATTCCGAAGTAAGCAAACATCGGCATTTGTCACTTGACGAAGCGGTGTTCATGAATAAGATTGTAGCTAGTCTAAGTACGCGTAGCACTCCAATGGAAGTGAGTTGGTCGGAAGACGGTGACAATGAACCGTATGCTCAAGAATCGAGTGCATGATCTGAAGATAGCTTTTAAGTTTGTTATACTTACTAATTATATTATTTATGTATCAGTTGATGGCTCTCATTTTAAATACTTGAAGGTTTATACATTTAATTCGATTCATGTTATGACTTTTCGTTAGAAGTATATTTGAGACATTTGTTCTCCATATGGAATTTATTGGCATAAAGAGCATTTTGTGGTTACAAAATATCACAGCAATCAAGTAACAAAAGATTGTTGGCCATTTGATGCTTGCAATGAGTTTTTGTGTGAGTATTTTGTGTTGAGATTAGATTAACATTTTGATTGGGCTGAAATTTCATATTTCCTTTTCTGTTCACTGCAGGCAGCCTAAATGTTCAGAAACAGGGCCGCGTGGCATAACGATTGATTGAAATTTGAATTGTTTGATTGATTGTCTTTGTGGAGAGAATAATTTGAAAGTTAAACAGAAAAGTTTCTCTTCTTTCGCACTCTCATAGACAAATCTAAGTCAGTGTTCAACGAAATGGTTATCAATTCCAACCGATTAAATGTCAACAAGTGCGCATCATAAAATTTTAAACATTCATTCTGCACGTTTTTTTTTTCCAAATGCATCTGACCCAATGATCAAATCAAAAAAATCAGAATACATTTTTAAAGATAAACAAATTCGGGTTTCAAATTTGCTAAAGCCCACAAATTTCATTTGTATCAACTGAAACTGACCAGAGAAAACTGTACATTTTTATAATCCTAATTCATAATTCAAACCATTGATTAGTTTAAGTCAGATTAGAATCAGACTATATATAAATATCAATTGAGTCGTTTCATATGAAATTGTTTATTTGAAAATGAGATAAATTCAATGCGAAAAGTGATCAACAACTCAACAGTTGCTGACTGTGAAGAGATCGATCACTCGACTGCGTGAGAATCAACAGAAAAATAAGTCATTTCAACACGTATCAAAATGAAAATATTTAACTAGAAATTTTAAGGAAATGACTAAAGTGTATTTAAAGTGGAAAAAAAACATAAAATATTAATGAGATATGAAAAAAAAATATGAGCTGTTATTAGAATAACATTATATTTGTTCTCTTGCAAGAAAAATTCAATCCGATTGAGATAAAATGTGTTTAAATAAAGCAAAAATGATTACAGTACAATAGAAAAATGGGATGGTTTTCATTCAATAACATGATTTTTATTTGAATTTGGTTGTTTTTCTGGTGAAAAAATCAAATGTATTCCTATTCTTCATGTGGCTCATATAAAAATGTCGTAAAATTGTCTTTTCTCTGATGAAAAATTATTATTTTTTTCTCATTTTAAATGAGTCCATTGAAAAATCACGAAAAGAATTGAATTTCAAACGGAAATTTTGACCAAAATATCCCCACATGCAATATCAGCACAGTAAATCGTACTAGATTTCCATCATTTGACAGTTCCCACTGTCGCATACATACAAAAGAGCACGTGAACCATGCTTTGACAGCTCTGCTTGACATTCCTTTACAAAACAAAACAATATCTTGCACACAAGCGTGCTGCATTTCATTTGCTGATTTTAATTGGAAATAATTTAATTTCGACGCATCATCAAGGGCATCATTTAGCATAGATCACATCAAAAACCAACAAAATGTCTGAGTAAGTAAAATTGATCGAATTAAAATCGGGGAATTCAATGTGTTCAATTGAAAACATGTTCCCATGAACATTGAACGTGTGTATATTTATATGTGGACATAACCTCACATTTCGACGCACATTTTATACCGTTTCTATGGTCTTTCTTCATGCCAAATTACCATTTATATACCATTTTCAAAAGCATTGATTCGAATGTTTCTTTTCATTTTGCAGTAAATATGCGGTTTCAAATAAGCTCCCTGCCAAGCAGGTGAATGTAATGACACATCGCAAACGTCGTTTGCGTGAGGAACAATCACATCATCGTGTCAAGCGACTGAATCGTTCATTCAAATTGCGAAGCAAGAAGCGTGACTACAAAAAGCCCGAATATTTCATTACGGAATTTTTGAAAGCCGAACGTGATGCCAAACGAATGCGTCGTGTTGTTATGAAAAACAATTTCTTCCAGAGCGTTGACGACAACGAACCAAAACTATTGGTTGTGATGCGCCATCGTGCTCACAAAATTGCATCAAAAGAATGTAGTTTGATTTTGAATAGTTTGGGTTTGTCACGTTTACACAACACCGTTCTGCTGAAAAACAATTCCGAATCGTTGGCACTGTTGAAATTGGTCGAACCGTATGTGGTGTTTGGCTATCCAACCATTCAAACCGTTCGTGATTTGATCTTTAAACATGGATTCCTACGGATAAACGGCAAACGCACAGCCATCAACTCCAACAAACTGATTGAAGAGCATTTGGGCCAGTACGGATGCATTTGTATTGAAGATATTGTTCATGATCTATTCACCGTTTCGGATAACTTCAAAAATGTTCGCAGTTTACTGCTACCATTTTCGGTGAGTATACTGTTGATCTAATTTTGTTTTTCATTTTCTTGGTTCTCCAATAAAGAAATACGGTGACATAGACAGAAAAAAAAGGACAAGTTGTTGTTCAACCATTTAAAAACAAATCCGAAGCCATTTGACAAATTTCATCGGAATTTTCCAATCCATTTGGAAGCTTTACTCCGTTTGATAATCTGCAAGGCGATTTTGATGCTCTTTGAACCATTTTACAAATGAATTTTATCACATAAAACAGATCAAGTGTCAATGAGTCACCCTTAAACCTGACTAATCGTAATGAATTTTATTTTTCGTTCAACAGCTAAAAGCACCCCGAGACGGATGGTCGAAGAAGATTGGCGTCAGCTACAGTCGAGGCGGCGAATATGGCAACCGAAAACAGGAGATTAATGCTCTTATCGAACGTTGTTTGTAAAATCTTTCATTATCTGCTCGCACTGTAAAAACAATCTATAGAATAAAATCCCGAAAAAATATTTGCGACATTTGTGTCAACAGAACATGGTGATTTGATTTTAAATCGAGTAAAAATTTTAGTTGTTAAAGAATTTTTCAGATTTTCAAAGCAAAACGACGACGCCTTTTTTTTGCTGAAAGATAATGACTGCATTACGTATTTAGTTTCGATATCTCTATTTCGATTAGTCAACGCAAAAAAACTGTCCAAACGTTCCAAAACAGAATAGAGAGAGAAAACAATCAGATAAACTGCATTTTGTGCTGATGTCTCGTTCGATTGGTTTTCGATGCATTTTTGTGTAACCGGATATTGTGTGCTATTAGCTGAACGTTTTCCAAAAATGCTCACCCGTCGTCGTCGTCGTCGTCGTTGTCGCACAATCTAAACCTGTTTCGATGAGTTCTCTGTAAACCATTTATTAATACAAAAGTAAATTGAGCGGCACCTTGAGGCACATGCGATTTGATAGTACTTAGAAATTGCGTCGCATCAACAATGTCATTCCAATTTTAGAATTCATAAAAATTATTTCATTCAAATTACTTGATTTGATCGTCAGTGTTATAACCTTCTTTTTGGTTGGGTCCGTCGTCGATTTGACGCCGTTGAAGATATAAAAAGAGAAAAAAATATACGAACCAAAGTCGAATGGTTCGCACTTTGCTCTTTTTGGGTGTGCGTGATCATTGCGAGAAAAGTATCACATTGCGAAAAGGTAAATGATGAGCCAGAGCTTCGAACGGATGAGAAGGAAGACCTCTGTCGATTTTTAATGAGCTCATCGGATGCTCATGCACATACAACCCAAAATTATGTGCATGCACTTTGTTCTCTGCTATCTCTTTGCCAATTTTCTAACAGTTTAGTCGCAAATCCGGAGGAGATAATGAAAAACCGTAGAAACGGTCGTATCGAATTAAAAGAAGACGCTCAGGTAGTATAAAGGCACCGGAATTTCATACGTGACTGTCGTAATTGCGCTCTTGCTGGGATGCGAGGTGATAACAGGACAACACGAAACAATGACCAATCAAATCACATACACGTAAGCAGTGATAGAATCATACCCAAAGGAATTCTGTATGGTCAAACGCAATTGAATTGTTATCATCTGAAAAATGTTTGCTGTCATATCATCTTTGCAAATGCGACTATCCATACTCCATACGTAAATGCTGTACGTGCTTTGAAATCTTGCATTTGTCTTAATGCGCTTTTTGTCACACACTCAAATAGAGATAGTGTGCGACATACTCAATGTTTGGGTATTTTTCCCATTCTCTCTCTCTCTCTCTTTCTATCTTATTCGCATTCGGATATTTCCATTCATAAGCACCATATAAAGTAGCAAGCATACACACATACTCGCACACATAAGCCACCAAAAATGTTTACTACTCATTCCTCTTATTCCGGCTTTTGACGTTCGCTTGTTTTCTTGTTTGTTGTTATTGTTTACGTGTTTTACGTTACATTCGTTCGTTTTTGTTTTTTTCTTGAGAATCGAGGTTTGTCGTCATCGTCAGAGCATTTGTTTGCTTCGAATATTGACTGCATATCATCGTCGATTTGTGTTCAGTCTACCGATGCTCATTGAACTGGTTACACAAAACCTCTCGTAGTTTCCCAACTTCATTGAAGCTGCTCGTTAATAAAACAAAGTTGTTTACACAAAGTGAAATCCATCGATTTGCGTTTGCCCATAAATTAGCAACAAATTAAAACTTTCCCAAGTCGTAGACAATAAAAGTGATTAAAATCCGGTGGATTTGCGTATTTTTCTTCAGTACCAGAGTTGAGTGTTGTTGAAGAAGAAAAACAAAAGACAGTTAAAGTTAATTGTAACAAAAGTGAAGAGAATTTTTAATTCAAAAAAATAAACAAAATAGTAAATTGGTGCATAATGAGAAACGGAAACGATAACCGACTAAGCAATAGTTTGGAGACAATACCTGAGGAAGGAAATGATTTGCCACGAATTAGTGAACTCATACCAAAATCACCGGAGACTCGGAAGCGAGAGGAAGAATGCTCCCAACTGTATGAATCGCATAAACAACACATCGAAGCCTTCTACGAAATGTGGATCATGCAACGCAGCCTGAATTTATTGAAACCCAAACGGATCTTTCTCAACGAACGGTATTTGGTGGGAAATTACGTCGATTAAAGCCATGTAAATCGTTTCGCATCCAACATCGTCGCCCACCACAATGTCAACTTGACCAGCCAAATTATGTGGTGTTAATTGCAAAACGAGTCCGTGTGGCGCGAGTCTGGTTGATCGAAATACACATTTTTGGCAGCATGGCGCTGGTTGTGTGAGCTTGTGTGTGATAAATGTGGTGCCATTCCATTTCATTTACATAACTATGCGCTGTTTTACTACGCTAACGATTTATGAATTAAAAATGACTCATTCCTGTTCGCTGATTCTTAACATTCATCGTAATCATAAACTCAAGTCATTGCTGAATTCGCGGGAATGACGCCGTGTTCCATGAAATTTGAATCGTAATTGATTAACTGGTTTTCGCTATGGCATCACACACAAATGAACAAATTCAGCGCTAGTAAAAGGAGCAAAGACAAAACAGCAACAACAAAAACTTTCGTTCAATTCAAACCGGAGTCACTCGTATGTTATCAGTATTTTGGCATCGCACCATTTATTAAAGGCTTACTTGTTTTTTTTTTTTCGGTACTTTGTATTTTGTTTCAATTGACCAAGGTCACATTGTTGTTATGGTTTTTGAAAATGAAATTGTTCGCCAATATTTTTTTTTTCTATGAAAAAGAGAGACGTAACCGTTTGTCGTTTTAAGGTCCAATACACCAAAATGGAACAGAGAGAGAGAGAGAGAAAGAGAAAAAAAGCAGTTGTACATAGTCAACGATCAGTTTTAGGCATTACGTGTACAGCTAAACTTGTATTTTTTTTTGTTTAACTAAGTGTAGACAACGATCCAAACTAGAGTAGCAATAAATTTTTATTAAACACAATTGTTGTGAGGCATTTCTTTTCGGAAATGCCTTTTTCACAGCAGCGTCAAATTGAAAACAAACCATTTATTGCTGTTATCGACTAAACCTTAGGCTAAGAATCGAGCTAAGAATAGAAATAAAGAATATTTTTTGAAATTGAACTCGTGTCTTTTTTTGCATTGGTTCTTGTTCTGGTTTACATTTCCGTATTATCTTGATTTCGACCGATAAGAAACATATTGATATGGCTTTGATCATTCTTTTTCCCCCGAAATAACTGCAATAAAAAAAAACAGAAATGAATAACACATTTTTTTTACAGTTACAAGCAATTTACAGTGATTCACTTCAATGTGAATGTACTTTGTACTTCCAGGAACTCTGCTGTTTGCACCGAATCAAGGTTTTTCGCTTACATAGACTTTACTTACCGAAAATGCAAACGCTGCAATCGTTAACTTCTTTTCTGTTGAAATTGAATCTGACTAACTCATTTCTAAACTAAAGTTTAATTCAGAATTTCATACAATGAAAAAAAAAAATGAGTAAAACAAAAGACGATTGCTTTTTCATTGTTTCATCAGACGATTGCTTATTACTCCGTTCATGTTTCTTATGATTCGATTATGTTTGTTTGGCTTCAGTCAATTTCGATTGAATCGTCGTCGTCTTTATCAGTCAAGATCTCTAATCGATTTGAGATTGCATAAGGGTTGCATTGTTTATGTTTTCATGGGCACAATAGTTTCTTTCCACAGAAGAACAATCGAAAAATAATGATATCACAGCAAGCAGTGAAAAATACATTTCAGTTCAGGCAATAGAAAAAAGTGGCTTTATTCACGTAATGAAGATTCGCTGAAACAAGGTAATTTCCATTTGTTCTGAAAATTATTATTATGTATAGAAATTCATAAACAAAATGTAATATGGTATTAAGTAATAAATACATCTATTTTTTGAAATTCCACCAACAAACCGTGTTATATCGATCAACTCTCCGTACAATATCACTCGCTCCATATTCTTGAGTAATGTAAATATTTGTTCATATTTTGGCTCGATATTACAAATTTACGAGGGAAAAATGCAAATAAATGGGTATCAACATATCACTTGGAAAAATGGCAAAGAGAGAGAGAGAGCGTGAGATTGGAAACTGACCAACAGAAAAAATAATACTATTTGACTGTAAGTTATCATGTTTCTTATACTTAATCGTTTGAATATGAAATTCGTCCGGAAATTGCGTGCATTCGCAACGACGCACGCGATAACCGTTTTCCATGAGTAAATAATGGAACGAAATATTATCGGTTGAAATGTGTGCTAAAATGAAAAGTGATCGAAGGCGCGTGGACAGGAGGCATTGCTCCAAAAATTACAACCACAGGCAAATATCCGAAAATATTTGTATGCAAATTTTTATTCTGAAGGTTTATTGAGAAATCACCCGCACAAATGGGAAAACCTCCTATTCGAAGAATCAAAAGGAGTACCAACTGATTCATTTCTATGAATTGATTGAAATGTTTTTAGAGAAACAGAAATCATAATTTAGACTTTTCAACTTGAATGTTTTTGTTTCCATTTCAAATTGAAAGCGTTTTGAAAAGCCAACAGTTTTCTCTCCCGAAAAAAAAACCAACCGACGAAAATTGAAATTAAACCAAACAATCATACATAGGAAATAATATTTTCAAACATTTGTGTAGGCATTCCATGAGTTGGTTCGTGAGTAAACAGTTTGGCTGGAGAAGTAGTAGTTTCTCGGAGAATGTGAGCTTGAATAAATATACACAACACTTGAATTGAATGACGACGACGTGTATATTCATATATGGAATCGATTATACAAAAATGCTGAAACTAACGGTTTTCTCACTGAGTTGTTTGTTTGGAACCCACCACTTGATATGGAGCTCTGTTCGCGCTGTGTGTCCGATTGAATTTACCCCTCATCGTTTGCAAAATGAGAGCAAGAAAATAAAACGCTTTGCTGTGTGTTTCATTCAGTGGTGAAACAATGGCCAAATGGCTGTAAATATTGCGAATGTTATATACATTCAAGTTCGGACTGGGCGCAAAAGTTTTTGCGATAAACCGAAAAAGAAGCATATATGAACATGTATATTAAATACCTGTGAGAGAAAATTATAACCTTGTATTTGGCGTTTCGCTTTGGATTTTGATGGTGTATGTGGCGAAATTGCGCAAGTCAAACACTGAAGAAACGGATCAACCGTCTTCATGGTAATTTTAATGGGGAATGAAAAAACTCATATAGGTTCACTTGCCGCTCCGCAAACAAAACACCCCATCGAACACAGAGAAACAGGGACTTTTGTGATTTTCTTCATCGCTTAATTCCTTGCTGTGTGTTGTGTTCTTTTGTTTCTTTTGCAATTCTTTTGGCCGTCCGAGTGAGCGAGCAAGTGCTTGTTGTTCATCGGGATTTCCAACGCGTTTCACCGAAACGCCATATATATTCCGTGTTTTTTTTTTCCGAACATACTCACCTGGTTAACCTGGTTTTTCATTTTTGTAGCTCAGAGAGTGCGAGAAACATTTGACGTTGGGCTTCCATTCAAAATCATACCAATACGAATCGTGAGACCGTCCCAACGTGAATCACCATGGAATGGATTTAAGGAGAGTGAAAATCAAATAGCAACCATCGAATCATAAGTAACCACGAACATTGTTTTCGATTTCGAAAAGCAAGAGTTTTACGGCTCATTTTCTGCGAATAAATTCCATTTTAGAAATATTTTTTGCAATAAAAATTTTGAAGATTTTATTTTGAGCCGCGACCAAATATCAATGGAATTTTTGAGAATAGAATGGCATTTATGATATAAGCTCTTTTTATGATCTAACCAAAAAAAAAGTGAAACCAAAAAAAGAACGACGAAAAAGTGGATAAAATTTAATTTCAACTACATTCAACGATCGATCGATTTATTTATGTTTGTCCAGTTAAACAACAATTTCACAACCAAAATGTAGTACTTCGTTTACGTAATGAACAACAAGTCAAGTGCCTTAAAAGACCCGACAAACATGTATCTCGGTGATAATTTCTATGAATCGAAATGCATTTGATTCATTCAAAATGTGAGAGTTATGCACAAAAAAAAAGTTCCTAACGAAACGAAGAAAGAAAAACGAGAGAGTTTGTGTGCGTGTGTATGAAATAAATTAGATTTAGATTGGTTTTTTAAGCGATGCAAAAATAATTGGTGGAAAGAAGTGTGATCATGTCGAAACCGAATCCAAGGCGTGCGGCAAAATCGTCATCACGAAAGCTAGCCCGCGAAACTGAACACGATGAGTCGACCGATCGAGCAAGTCGATCGGCGGTCAATCCGACCGCATCTCGACCAGACGATCCCAAAGATGAGACTGCCAAAGATGAGAAAAAGGATGGTAAAACTCCGGATGATACGACGACCACACCGTCTGAAAAGCCAAAGCCACAAAGTGCGAGTGCGACAATACGTGATGCAGGCCAAAGATTACTTAGTTTAACGATGAAACAAGAATGGACATCGATCGATCCGGTGTTGAAGCAGTTGGAAAAAATTGTGGCTGCCGGAGGTGGAGAGGCAAATGTGGCTCCATTGGCTGGTGTTGCGGACCCGGTGAGTATTTAATCGTCGTCAACCACTCTACTGCACAGTGTGTCCTTTTAGATGGAAACATTTCATTTCGATAAATAGTAATATGTTGTCATAATTGGGTTAAAGTAAATTTCCTGTCCGTTTTTCATCCAATTTTTTTTTTCTTTTTCGCATCGCATATATGTTTGTCACGTATTCATTTCAAGGCAAACAAAACACTTGAAATAATCGGCAGCCATTTAGCAGTAGAAGCGAAGAAACAAAAACATATTTATAAATGGATTTATGCATATTCATACACGAACATAAATATTTGTACCGGAAAATGTAGTTTATTTCGGGGCGCATACATGCCATTTTTGCAAGCTCACACCGCACACACAGAATCTGGTGCTGGTTGTGCAAAATATTCACTCGATTCCGAATTCAGTGCTAATTGTTGGCACCGTGACAAATGCCGGCCTATGATGAAGACATAGCGAAAGTGTAATGATTGCGCTGGCATCGGCCATTTTCAATGGAATTTTAAGTTCAATATCCTCAACCCATTGAGTGACACTAAATATGCACGACAGGCTACTATTTATAGCCGCCGACTGTGAAATGCTAGTCAAATTGTGTAACACATATTATGAATGGCTGCTGGAAATTATTTAAATGGGTCAAGAATTAATCCTTTAATGCACCACCCTTTTTCTACATACAAATTCAATTTTCAAACTAAGTTATTCCTTCATATCAACAGAGAACCATAAGAAATATAGAATCTGTTCGTTTTTCTTTTTCTCGAAAGCAAAATTCATGTCTAAATCGATTCCCCACGTAAGAACGGTTACATACAATTCGTCTCATACAATTTTGCTGCCTTAACGATTTGTTGGTTGTGTTATTGTTGCTGTTTTTTTTTTCTTCGTGTAACAATAGCACACCTCAACCAGGTTGAGACAGACGAAAGGAACGATGGAACGAAGGGAAAACAACGAACGGAAGAACACTGCAAACACAGTAAAATACTTACCATCAATGGTTTCAACTCCATTCTATGACCACAACCGTATCACGATAACCCAAATTCCAATTCGTATTACATCGGTCGGTTCGGTTTGCCGCGCGCGCTTATGTGAAAAATGGCCTGTCGACAATGTGAAACGCAAACCTTTTCGCTATGCAGAAGTACAATATATTTCAGTTCAACTCAAAATCCACAAAACAAAATGAGAAAATGGTTCACCTTTAGCCCATTCCAATTTCTTACATTTTCCATATATATATGACATGAATGCGGACTTTTTATTATTTTGATTTAAATTCTTGTACTTTGCACCTTTTGTATAAAATAAATCGTTTGTTAACATAAATCTTATCTTTGTGGAAATTCAATGTTTAGGTAAAATTATCTGAGTTTCAACTTTATATTGAAACCGGTCAACTGATAATATCAGTCCTGATATGAACAAATTAATTTTAGAATTAAATTTAATCTCCATATCATTTAATACCAACAAATAAAAATTTTAAAATTGCAGATATCCGGAATGACGCCCTTGATGTACGCGGTCAAAGATAATCGAACATCGTACTTAGATCGACTCATCGATCTTGGATCAGACGTTTGCGCACGTAACAATGTAGGTTTTTAGGCGAAATTATGCTTTGATTACAAACTGTATGCCGTTCTTTATTTTTTTCATCATTTGAACGACATCTGGCATCTCTGTCATGGTGTATTAATGCATTTCGTTGTCAGCGTCGCATCGACGGTAACAAATTGGTTTTGACTTAAGTATCATGCTGTGGACGTCGCAGAAAATTATGAATTTTCGAACATTGCAATGAGAGTTAATTGAATATTCAATCTGCAAAAAGAGTTCATGGACAAAATGCGTTCATTTGAATTTTTACATTATCCACTTCATCGATTCGGTTTACGGTGTCTGCGATTGGTTTTACTTTTTGTTGTTTTGTGAATATCGACTCATTTTTCTACATGTTTTTTTTTCTCCCTTTGACTTTGATTTCCATTAACGCAAAGCTCTTCTTAATCGTGAGCGGTGTGTAACACGCGCCACTCGGTCAGTCGTTAAGCCGTACCCCGTGTGTTTGACGAAGAAAGGAAAACGCGATAAAAGTAATTACAATCTAAAACGGTTTACGCGCTCCAATTTTTCGGCGAATTTCGTTTAACCGAAGGGGGTCGTTTTTATTGTTGTACGATTGTAATCATGTAACGCATTTGTCGCGTCTTGAGCAAATGAAAAATACATCAAATGGAAACAAAAGGACCCTGACCCACATTCAAAGTACATCAATCCAATGAAATTTCAAACAAATAAACTGGCCAAAATTGCGTTGGTGGTCCTGTTCAGGTTGTTGATGGTTTTTTTCGTTATTCAAATCAATATATCATGTTGATCGTAGCACAATAACTGCCAATATTCGTTTGTTTTGCGACGCGGCTTGATTTTACACGCGTTGCGCGTTTTGATACGCTCGCAATATGACGAGAAAGGAAAAAAAAATTCAAACAGGTGTCGATTGCTGCTTTCTTACCCTCAATCCATTCCATGGAGCAAGAGTTGAGCGTATGGCTTCAGTTGGTTCCTTTGAGTTGTTATAGACTCATAGTAACGTGTAATTAGCTTTGAGTCACATATTTCTCATAAATATCGAAGAAAAGAAGTGAGCGAGAAAATGTTGTTGTATATTTTGACCTACGTCCAAAGAATTTGACCCATTTTTTTGGCATACACGCGCACACTCTCGCTTGCCATTTCTATATGATTTTCCTTTTCTCTTTGCATTCGGAATTATTTACATGTTTTATGATTTTTCACTTACACTTTCGCTGAATGAAACGCAAATGAGCTTAATTTTCTTGCGATGTGTGTTATTTTTTATTACATTTTGTGTGCATTATGTTGCGCAAGCAATTTTATGACATACGTGCTCTTTCTTAATACAAATTGACGACACAATTTATTGTGTGCGACACGGTTTTTCTTTTTGTATGACATTCAATTTAAAGAAAGAAAAAAAAAAAACAATCGCAAATCCCAAAATAGAATGAATGATCAAGATTTGTTTCGTTTTTTTTCTTCTTTTGTTTGATTGTAGGAAGCATGTTTTAATTGTTTCGCAATTTTTCTGTATATTTTCGGAATGTTCAGAAGGAAACGCCTTGGTAATAAGTTCGAAGTCAAAGGTTAAAACATTAACAACATGCACACAACATGACTTTGTTTTCATTCTATATGCTGATAAATAAATAAAATTACGTTGAAACTGCAATTTCAACCAGAAATGCTTAGCGGTAATTGAAATGTTTAGCGCGATAGCTGCTTCGATAGATCGCAGTAGATTCGAGATAAAACAAAAAGAAGTGAATTAGAGGAGCGTGCCAAACGAGCACTCGACTGTAATCTTCACCTTGAATAGTAATTGCGAAATTAATTCTGACCACATTGCGCTCTTTCTCTCTTTGCTTCTCTGCTGTGAGTGACCACATTCTCCGCGCGCTGATTAGACGAATAAATCAAGGTTATGGCTGCAATCGCAACCTTAAATGCAATCTAGATCCGGAGCCACTTTTGTTCAAGCGCAATGAGCTATCAAAATTACAAACAAATTGCAATTTTTCCACAAACCATCCAAAATGGAAGGCAAAAAACACACAAGCAGTCAGTAAGATTAGCATTTGTACGACCCGCCATTTCATTGGATCGATTCATTTTAGAAAGAAAAATGAGGAAAAGAAAGTAATGAATTACAGAGAAAAAAAAAGCATTTCTGGTAATTAATTTGAAAATAATCAACATGCATAAGCTAAGCAAATAATTGCGGGTTATTTGAATAAAAGCGATTGAATTAAAAAAAAAAAACGACAGTAAAAATGTGATTCGATGATTGAAGAATCAAAATGAAACGTCTAACGAGAAGAAAAACAAAAATCCTTGTAAAAAGGAAAGATTTCATGAGAATTCGATGAAATGTCGAACAACAACCAAATTCAAATCATTTATCATAGAAATTACAAATGAATCAACCACTACCCCAATACGAATCGACAGAATTCAACTAATAAGTATAGACATGCCACTTTAAGCAGAAAAAAGACGAAATTCAAAAGCGAATGAATTCAGGCGAATGAAGAGAGCAGCAAGGAAAAAAGGCCAAACACAACAATAGCAAAAAAACTATTGCGCACTTCTATTCTTTTACTATTTTATTAGAAGTTCTTTTTTTATTTTTGCAGCGAAAGTAAGTCGTAATTACAGGCTTGTGTATCATATAATATTGCGATCCGTCCGACATCAATTAAGAAACGTGCATACGCCAATGAGGCGGTTGAAAATACCGTTTTCATGGTGTGCCACTTAACGCAATAACACTTCCATTTTTTTTTTCGCTCGACGTAACTTCACATTTTTCTTCTTGAATGTTCATTTTTTTAAGCGTGCAAATATGAATATTTATTGTGTACACGGCCCATACACTCATACAGGATGGGTGTTGCTTTTCTATCCTTTCACACTCGAAGGGATGAGAATGCGAAGAGTGAAAACGCAAAAATTGAAATTAATGAGCATATGATGAGTAGTTGGAAATCCCAACTACTCATTTCAAACTAGCAAGCAGTGTGTAAATATTACAGAATTACACAACACGTACAAAAGAAAGGGAGAACTTTTTGCGGCTGGCGGTTTATGGGAAACATGACGGCATATTTTCTAGCAATTTACTTGGTAGTTTTGTTGGTGGATTCAAAGTTTTCATCAAATCTTCAAAATAAAAGTTCAAGCGCTGCTTAATTTCTATTTAATTGCTTATTGCTTGTGATTTATGAGCGGAAAATGTCGGTTTTACATCATTTTCGCCCTACAAAATGAACATTTCAACTTGATTTGATTTGGTTTTTGGCCAAAACTATCAAATTACCTCGAAATGCCTCTGGACAACGGTGTTGGCCGTCGTTCCGAAGAAATTAATCGTTTGAGGTCAAATAAATGCTCGAAAATACGGCTGTTTATTGTTTACAAGTGTGTTTCGAAAAAAAGAATCACTCGCACATCATTTATCAGAAATGAAGACATTACGTGAACACGCGCACAAGTCTCGACTGGCGTCATGTTAATCGAAGACCTGTTTAATACTAACGATCGCGATAAAAACCGTTACAAAGAGACTCCTTTGTTTAACATGGAATTTAAAAAAAAAATTGTTTGGAAAAAACCAGATGTGCGATATGGGAGACACGGGATGCATTATCACCTGAAATTGCTGCATATTAAAGAATTCCCGCACTAGAAATGCATCGAAAATTCTACCATTCTAACAAAGAAAATTTCTTTCGAAACCATATGTTTTGAAAGAAATGATGATGAAAACGTCTCATCATCTGGTTGTCTTTAACATTTTTGCATTATTTTTTTTTTCAGGATCATTTCAACGTTTTACATGTTGCAGCGATGTATTCACGAGAGGACGTTGTGAAATTGTTGTTAAATAAACGTGGTGTCGATCCATTTTCGACTGGTGGCGTAAGTATTTTCGTTCGGCAAATCGATATTCATTGTCTGATTCAACGGTGGAGCAAGCCGAATAACAAAACAATCTACTCAAAGAGCGCGCCATACAGAGTCAGTGTATGGGTTTTTTTTTTGTTCAATGAACTCCAAATTCACATGCAATTCATTGATTGCATCGGGGCGACTACATAAACAAAAACACCAAACTGCGAAATACTGTCTTCTTGTTGTAGTATGGCAAATGAACAAAGTTGAAAACAATCAGCGTTTTGCCAATTTCTACCATAGTAACACCCTAATATTTATATGTCGAAACGTAATTTATGTGTTTACATTCCATAATCCATTTCTTGTGGATTATTTTCGATATATCTGTGCCGGAGGAGAAGCCAACGTATGTTAATGTAGTTTTCGATGTATGCTTTTTCGGGATATACAAAAAAAAAGTTTGTATCATGTGCTTTGAGCTCTTCATCAGACAATCAACGATCCTTTTTTCCATTCATTTTCAACCGAACTGAATATCCCGAGCACGGCTAAAAATAGCAAATATTCCATGCCGTATTCGAAACAAATTCCAAGCGTTGCGTGCCTATGATCCGCAGGCAAATCAGAGAGGAACAAAATGATGAATGGCGCTGATGATCCCGATGCATTCGAATTATGAAATTTCATTCCGTGCTTGGATGTTCGCAGCAATAAACTCAATTAAATTCCATATTCTAATGGTGATGAGCAATCCTTTTTCCATTTTTTCAAGCAAACAACGGATGTGTTTGCCATAAAATTGAATGCAAACAGAAAATTGAATGAAAATTTCGATAATTTCGTGCATATGGTCTTGATTTTTCTCAGAAAATTAATTTCCATGTCTTGAAAATTTCTTCTTTCTGCTCTACTTCGACGATTTTCTTCTTTATCAAACGATTTTCGTTTTGAAGAAAACAAAAAGAAAGCTTTACCATCCTTTTTTCTTCATTTGAAAATAATTTGCTTCTTCTTCAATCCCAATTCGACGCCAATTATTGAAATTGTTTTTCGAACGCCGAATCGGTTACTCACCTTCGAAATTTGCATATTCACATTTCACCTTTGCGACACCGTACTTTGAACTTTCATTCATCAGGCCGTCGGATTTGCGGAATTTATTGGCAATATTCGGTAAACCATCAACATGTTTGTGTCGCGCGGAACCCATCATATGGAGTAGACGTCGCGAACGAGCCCAATATTTCAATTTCTTACGTTGATGTTGAAAATAAATTTCTTTGTTATTGTTTGTCGATTTGACGGAGATGCAGCTCGTAACCACTGTTACATGCAACTTGGTTTTGAAAGTGTATACACACGTACGAATGTGCTTTGGTGCAGAAAAACTGTTTGCGCGCCAAAAAAATAATGCTGGAAAAAATATACGAACTATACAGCACGTGAATTAATATACTAATGCTGCAAGTGTTTTTGGCGCATTAAACACGTATTGGTTTAATGGGGAAGTTTGAGCGACACATGCAAAATATATATATATGTGAATATTATCACGAAACCGTAATATCAATTCTCGCATTGAATTGTTACATGCGTCGTTATTACTGTCTTACGTTCTTTTTTTTTCAAATAAAATGGCGAATGCTCGGCAAAAATTCATTTCAGCTTTCAGTTTTGATTCTCTTTTGACGCTTTGCACTTGCTCCACGAATAAAATATTCGGAGTTGGTGAATCGCATTGCAAAACCAATAATTTATGCTTGTTATTGATTTAAAGTGTTGTTGATTAAATTGAAATCAGAATAGAAAATTGAATTTGCTGCAAAAGTAGTTGGATCAAGTGATCTGGTCGTTGAAGTGACCGATCGAAGTTTTATCGACGGTTCAAAGTGTTGTACTTTTGAAAATCACAACGAATATTTAACCATATCAATCTAAATTCACAAATCCAAGGGAAAAGTGTTCACATCTCATAAAATTTGATGCAACATTTCAGCCAAAACAACAGACGGCCATTCACATTGTGTCCAGTCGTCAAACGGCTACAGCGACGAGTATTCTTCGGGTATTGCTGGCGTCAGCTGGCAAAGAAATACGATTAAAAGCAGACGGCGTAAGTATAAAACACATTTGACAATAGAATTATGTTATTGAGAAGGAAAACTATGATATTGAAGGTGATTTGTTCATCGAAACAAAGAATGTTGTTCAGAATGACAGAAAAGAAAAGAAAATAAGTTTGATGCAGTGCACAAAGTTATTGGTGGCAAATTTAATCGAAAGTCTGACAGGTGATTAACAGTTGTTCGTCGTCCAAAATATGCATATATAGGTATATTTCATGTCAAAATCCGATTTCAGATCGTAGTTGGTTGTCGTCGTCGCGAATCAAAGGAATTAAAATGCCACACACGAAAGTGCAAACTCAATTAGGCTTCGCACCAAAGCGCCTGGATTCTTGAGAACGTGACAACTCTGTGTAAGGAATGTTCGAAAAGTATGTCAGTTAAAAGTGACAATAGGCAAAAGAAAGCACCGTAAAAGTTGTGTGTTAGTTATGGATTATGATATGTATATGAAATTGTTTTTTTTTTCTGTATTTACCTCGCATTTCGTTCGGTCTCTCATTTTTCTCCTTCAATTGGGAGCTGTCAGTGTTGATTTCTCTTGAACAAAGTGCGAATAACAAACAAATGGATGGCATGACACACATGCAAATTGTGTTCCTACTTCGATAGTTCACAGCGAAAACAAAAAACCGAATAAAAAGGCTCCGTATTGAAAACGGTTTTGTGTTGCATAAGCAATGTTTGATACGAAGTCACTTAACCTGTACGCTAAATTCAATACATTTTTTTCGGTATGTTCTCTGGCACTGGAAACGCATTTCGTTTACTCGACACGATTTGCATGTCATATAGTTATAACATTTATTATGTTGATTGTTTCAACGGCTTTTTTTTTTATTTCAATCTCTTTAAATTGTGATTCATCGCTGAATCTAATCCAATATTGAAGCGATATTTTTTGTCGTTCTTTTTTCTTCGCTTTGAGAAAAAATGTAAATACTTTTGTCGTTCATACATGTGTCGTCTAAGGAATGTTAGCTGCAATATTCCCATAGTCGAAATTCTTCAATAGAAATTTTGACCACAATTTCTGTTTCAAAATGTTCTTGTTCCAATATCCTGCAAAGCAAAACGACTCACTTACATATTCATTCCGATGTGCCAACGTGTATCGTAACATTTGAACTCGACCCAAACCACTTTAATAGCTCAACCATAACCTAATTTCAAAAAATTCATCCAGGATTTGAATCAATTCAAATGGTAAAATACGAATACGGGAGCAACTTTACCAACGTTAAAAACTACTCTCCCCACCAGCTTGTGTTCTCATTCGGCTGGGCCTAGGAGGAATACGCTTGTCATACATTATAATAATTCGTTTGAATATATTGTTAACAATATTATGTCTTTGTATTCGGAAGCGCCTGGTACGAGTGGGGTTTGTGTGTTGGGTGCCAGCGAAAAATTCTAATCGCATTTCGACACACAACATGCACACACTAACACATACATTTCTTGATTTTTCACTCTTGAAATTGAACGTTCCATATGAACGACGACGGTGTTGGTGTTTATTTCATCAGTCTTGATTTTGCAACTTTCACATGGAATTCCGCGATTGGAAATTTCGAATTGATTGGAATGAAATGGATTCGTTCGATATCCATTTCTCTCTCTCTCTCCCTCTCTCTCTCTCTCCCTCTCTCCCTCTCTCTCTCTCTCTCTCTCTCTCTTTCTTCAACTTCATTTTCTAAGGTCTATGCCAAGCAACATTTTCATCTGTATTTGTTCAAAATGCACGTGTTTATTATGCCATTCAATTTAATTTCGAAAAGGAAAACAATGAACAAAAATATATTTCAATAGAAAATTCGGCACAGGGAGGAGCAGTCGAATTAGGTCACAAGCATTCGAAAAACAAAAGCGATTTTTATTTCAATCTTTGTTTGTGCGGCTGTGGCGGCGTCTGCTTTAAATTGAAACACCCTGTTCCATTTTTTTTTTCCGATATCCGAGTCGCTCCCACTTCCTCTTCGTTGATATTCGCGTTTTTCGGCTTTGGTTTTCTATCGTTATTTTTTTTTTCGTTTTTATTGGATTGCCTAGCACTTGACTCGCTAAATTTCGAGTTAGATCAATAAATAAATAGAATTTATCCTAATCGGTTCACTTGGTTTAGTATTTTTTTTTTTCTCTGTTGAAACGCAAATGAAATCAAATAGAAATCACAACAAATCGAACGTGATTTTGGTATCTGTACTGTGTGTTCGGTGTGTGCGTCCGGTGTAGTGAAATGCATACGCTTTAGTTGATGTCAAATGTTGTTCGCTAAGCAACTACTTTAACATTAAGAGCCATAAATTTCGACGGCGTTGTAAATATAGGCGATTTATTATCGAAACACTTTTACGTTGTGTGTTCGCGATCTCAGTGTGTTAGTGAATAGTTAGGAATTTTCTTTCAAACGGGAATTGAATTGAAGAAAGTCGAACAAAAAGTTTTCAGTAGCAACGGAATTTCTGATCCACGCACTGTCGCACGGCAGCCCAAGTGTTTATTTTGCCACAAATGGCTTCAATCAATTTGCCAGCAACACTTTTTTTTCCCTTTGTTTTTGGTTAAAGTTGCCTTCTCCTCTCTCCCCATTCAGTTCACAAAGCCTGACACATACAATCGTATAGCAATAAAAAAAAAATGCAAACGCAAAAAGGCACCAAAAAGGGGTCTTCGTCTGCCACTATCGCATGCCATCACAAGTGATAGCAACCTTAAACGAATTCAATGCAATAGACCAACAAAAAAATCGTGAATGATGATTAACTGAATGTTGTTAGAAGCTATTTTCGGTTACGATTTCAATTGGCTGAACCGTGCGATTCATATTTTTGTTGTTGCCTTTCGTTCGTTTTCTAGCATGAGGTGAATTATTAAAATATGTGAAGCAAAACAAAAAACAGCAACACAGAAATAACAGATAAATCGAAAATTTGTGTATAACAACCTGAATATTTGGTTGTTCATTTATTTTCACGGGTCTGGGTAAACAAAATTTCCAATCAGATCACAGTCAGTCGTAAAATGTAGCTAAATGCGAATAGTTGTCTTTTAGTTAATCGTGCGTTTCGGTTGCAAAATTTAAAACAAATATATAAACGATAGAAAAGAGTGAAACAACCAGTGTAGTTAGTGAACATGTCGAAACGGGCATCAAATTCGCGGATGAGTATATCGAGCGGAATATCGATTCCTGCATCGATCGAAAATGTAAAGAGTTTTGAAGAGTATTTAACGTTGGCTACAGAGCAACCGCAAGTTTTTGAACAACCACCACCACCGTCGTCGTCTACCAAAGATTCAACGAAAAAATCCTCCAAATATGGCATACACATTCAACGCAATAAAGACGCGATTAAAAAGATGCAAGCCAATAACTTTGTCGAACTGAACAAACAAAAACTGGATCAACGACATGAACAACAACCACCGCCGCTGCCCGCACCGTTGGTGCGTGCACCAAGTTCGTGGCGTAATTTAATCAAAGGTGTTCTTGATTTACAGCGTGGCAAAATACCATTGTTATTGGCTGTCGAAGCTGGTAACCAGTCTATGGTTCGCGAATTGTTATCAGCACAAACTGCAGAACAACTGCAAGTGAGTTTCAACTTTTTAGTTTTGATAGTTTTTGATTTTCCGTTTTCCTTTGGCTGTTACTTTGCATTAGCAAAAGCAAAGGGTGGATTGAAGTGATTTGATACAAAGTGCGAATTTTCATATTGATATTATAGGCAACGACTGAAAATGGCGATACAGCCTTGCACTTGGCCACCAGGCGACGTGATATCGATATGGTACGCATTCTGGTTGATTACGGTGCAAATGTGGATATGCAAAATGGTGAAGGTCAAACCGCACTTCATATTTGTGCAGCCGAAGGGGACGAGGCGCTGTTAAAGTATTTCTACGGTGTTCGTGCGTCAGCATCAATTACCGATAACATGGATAGAACACCAATGCATGTAGCAGCAGGTTTATATCAACTTTTCACACAATTCCATTTCAATCGTCAACTCAATTTGCATTTTTCTGTTTCTCACTAATTGACCATTATTATTATTGTATCATTAATTGGGTTTTATTGAATGAATAAAAAAAAATTGTGTGTGCGATAGAAAATGGACATGCTTCAGTGATCGAAATTTTGGCCGATAAATTCAAAGCGAGCATATGGGAACGGACGAAAGACGGAAGCACATTGATGCACATCGCATCGTTGAATGGTCATGCCGAATGTGCCACAATGCTCTTCAAAAAAGGTGTTTACCTACATATGCCAAATAAACGTGGAGCTCGCAGTATACACACTGCCGCGAGATACGGCCACATCGGTATCATCAACACACTCATTCAACGTGGCGAAAAAGTCGATGTCACTACCAATGTAGGTTACTCAATGCTACAACTTTATTTTTGAAATGTTTGAATTGTTCTTTTTTTCTTTCTCTCGCTTTTGTCTATTTATTTATTTGTTTTTTTTTCTTTCTCGTCCGTAAATTGAATTGAAATTGAAAATTGAACGGAATTTAATTTTGGAACCGAAACAATTTGTGATTGCGATATCGCTCTCAGCATCTCATAGGATAACTGAACGAGATAATTCAGCTGGCTGAGATGACGCAGCGACGCATCACCCGAGTCTGTGAGATACACATACACACAATGCGCCCAGCGGTATCCTTATACACTCAGTCCCATTTAGTGACGCGCGGCATCGAATTGTGTGTGTGTGTGTGTGTATCACAAAGACTCGGGCGATAAACTTGGGTGATGCGTCGCTGCGTCATCTCAGCCAGCTGAATTATCTCGTTCAGTTATCCTATGAGATGCTGAGAGCGATATCGCAATCACTGGAAACAAATATTGACAATGAACTTTTGATCATGAAACAATGATAAACGGAATCCAATTGAGAATTTCATTTCAGTTTAATGTTTTTTGAACATAGAATGGTTTTTAGAATAGTAATTATAAAGATTAATCGATGATTTTTGCATTGGAACACAATCGATTATTCAGGACAACTATACAGCACTTCACATAGCGGTTGAGTCAGGAAAACCGGCCGTTGTTGAAACGCTGCTTGGATATGGTGCTGATTTACATGTTCGAGGTGGTAAGCTGCGCGAAACTCCATTGCACATTGCCAGTCGAGTGAAAGATGGCGATCGATGTGCGCTGATGCTGTTGAAATCGGGCGGCGGACCCAATTTAGCAACCGACGATGGTCAGACTCCAGTACATGTTGCCGCAAAAAATGGCAATCTACAAACATTAATTCTACTTTTGGAGGATGGCGGTGATGCTATGTGGAAATCAAATGTGAGTAATGCAAAATCGTATTGGTTTAGTAATTTTTTTGAATTATTTTTTTTTATTTCGTCATTTGTTGAGGACTGTTTCAATTTTCACTTTAATTTCGATGTAATTTTATATGTTCTCCATGAAAATTTCTCATAAAAACAACCATCTAATCGGATTGAAATTCCAACTCATTTGCAGAATGGTGAAACGCCACTTCACTTGGCTTGTCGAGCGTGTCAACCGGAGATTGTACAGCAATTAATTGAAGGTGTGAAAGAAAAACATGGCTCGGAAGTGTTAGAAACATATATAAATACATTGAATGAAGACGGAGCGACGGCCATGCACTATATTTGCAATGTGTCAACGGATGAAGTGGAATTTCTCGATGCCGACAAAGAAATTGTTCGTTTACTGCTGCAAAATGGGGCGGATGTCTCGGTGCAAACGAAGCAAACGTCGGAAACGTGTTTCCACTATTTAGCTAAGACTGGAAATAATGACATTTTCACCGAAATGCTACAGCACATGGCGCCAGCCGATACACAAAAGGAACTCAATCGACAATCATCAATTGGTTGGACGCCGCTGTTGATCGCGTGTAATCAGGGTCACATGGATCTTGTAAATAATATGCTTGCGAATCATGCTCGTGTCGATGTGTTTGACATTGAGGGTCGATCAGCGTTGCATTTGGCCGCCGAACATGGATTCATTCAGGTGTGCGATGCATTGCTGGCAAATAAAGCGTTCATCAATTCAAAGTCTCGAGTCGGCCGAACGGCATTACATTACGCAGCAATGAATGGATACAAAGATTTAGTGAAATTTTTGGTTCGTGATCACAATGCGGTTATCGATATTTTAACATTGCGAAAGCAAACGCCATTGCATTTGGCGAGTCAGAACGGTCAATTGGAAACGTGTATGTTGTTATTGGAACTTGGAGCCAGCATTGATGCCACCGATGATTTGGGTCAAAAACCCATCCATGCTGCCGCACAAAATAATTTCTCCGATGTTGTGAAACTGTTCTTGCAACAGCATCCGAGCTTAGTGAATGGCACGAGTAAGGATGGAAACACGTGTGCGCATATCGCAGCCATGCAAGGTTCAGTGAAAGTGATTGAAGAGCTCATGAAATTCGATCGACAAGGTGTGATCAATGCTAGAAATAAATTAACGGATGCCACACCACTGCAATTGGCCTGTGAAGGTGGTCACGTTGCCGTGGTGAAAGCTTTAGTTCGAGCCGGTGCCTCGGCAACTGATGAAAATAAGACCGGCTTCACTGCCGTGCATCTTGCCGCACAAAATGGACACAATGGTGTGCTTGAAGTGATGCGAAGCACCAATTCACTCCGAATTTCGAGTAAAAAACTTGGATTGACGCCAATTCATGTGGCTGCTTACTTTGGACAATCGGATACAGTGCGTGAATTGCTGGGGAATGTTCCAGCCACGGTGAAATCAGAAACACCAAGCGGACAGTCATTGGTGCCTGAACTAGGTTCGGAATCGGGAATGACACCATTACATCTTGCCGCTTACTCTGGAAATGAGAATGTTGTGCGACTGCTGCTGAATTCAGCCGGTGTTCAAGTCGATGCTGCCACAACCGAAAATGTAAGAGAAGTTCGAACGCAATAGTTGAAAACTCTTGATGAAATATGCCTTTGAGATAGATAGTTCACTCTTTGATTATTCAATTTTGAGCTCAACTAACATCCCCTTATTTACTTTTAGGGTTTCAATCCACTTCATTTGGCGTGTTTCGGTGGTCACATGAGTGTGGTTGGTTTGTTGTTAAGTCGTTCCGCCGAATTGCTTCAAAGCTGTGATCGCTATGGAAAAACGGGTCTTCATATCGCAGCGATGCATGGCCATTATCAAATGGTCGAAATTTTATTGGGTCAAGGTGCCGAAATCAATGCATCCGACAAAAATGGTTGGACGCCGTTGCACTGTGCCGCTAAAGCCGGACATTTGGATGTGGTTCGTTTGATGTGTGAATCGGGTGCATCGCCAAAAAACGAAACTAACTATGGTTGTGCTCCGATTTGGTTTGCCGCATCCGAAGGACACAACAACGTCTTCAAATACCTGATGCACAAAGAGCACGACACATACGCACTCATGGAAGACAAACGCTTTGTTTACAACCTAATGGTTGTATCCAAAAATCACAACAATAAACCAATCGAAGAATTTGTTCTCGTCTCACCAGCGCCCGTCGATACAGCTGCCAAATTATCCAATATCTACATGATTCTTTCGACTAAAGTAACTTATACAACCCTGTATTTAGATTTAACCATGAAATTGATGTGATGTTTGTTTTAGGAAAAAGAGCGTGCAAAAGACTTAATCAATGCCGGTAAGCAATGTGAGGCGATGGCCACTGAATTACTGGCGCTTGCAGCTGGTGCCGACTCAGCTGGACGAATTTTAACTGCCACAGATCGAAAAAACACGGAATTTCTAGACGTACTCATCGAAAATGAACAGAAAGAAGTGATCGCTCACACTGTTGTACAACGATACCTTCAGGTAAAAACGCAGTGATTTCAATTTTTTTTCAACTCTTTTTTTTGTTTTCTATTTTTGGTTCTCTTCTTTTTTTTATTGTATTCAGCGTCCCAAACTCTAATGCACATTGCACATTCATTGAAATATTGCAGGAATTGTGGCGCGGCGTTTTAAATTGGTCTGGTTTTAAATTAGTGTTGCTGTTGGTTGCGTTCATCATTTGCCCGCCAGTCTGGGTCATTTTCACACTTCCATTAGGTCATAAATTTAGCAAAGTGCCGATCATTAAATTCATGTCATATTTAACATCACATATCTACTTGATGACTCTGCTGATGCTAAGCGGCATCGTGCCACCATTTCCTGTCGTTCGACCCGGACTGTTTCCGTACTGGTACGAATGGGCATTACTCGTTATGTTATCCGGTTTATTACTGTTCGAATTGACGAATCCGAGCGATAAAAGCGGATTGGGTTTCATCAAATTGCTCGTACTACTCTTTGGAATGGCCGGTGTTGGCGTGCATGTCGGTAAATATGTTCAAGATTAAAGTGAAATTTTGAAAACAATATTCTGAAATATCAATTACATTTTCTCTCAATGCCCGCCAAAAGCCGCAATGTTTTTCGTTAAGATTGAATATTGGCCCACGTTAATGTACTGTCGAAATCAGTGTTTCGCTCTATCGTTCTTGTTGGCTTGTGTGCAGATTCTGGATTTTCTGTCGTTCCATCACCTGTTCGGTCCATGGGCAATCATCATTGGTGATTTAATGAAGGATTTGGGTCGATTTTTGGTTGTGTTGGCAATTTTCGTATTCGGATTCTCAATGCATATAGTCGCGCTAAATCAGCCGTTCGAAAATTTCACACCCGATCAAGTGCGCGGTTTAGGAAAGAAAACGCGAAAAGCACACCTCTTCAGTGATGGTAAGATCAGTCAGGTTAACCATTTTTGATTCAAGATGTTCAAGATCTGACATAAGCGTTCATTCAATTTCATACAATTTAAATACTTTTAATCGAAAAAAAAAAATTATTTGACAAGTGAAACCCTTAAGTTACGTCAACGTCTGGTAAAAGCATACATTCGAATCCATGCAGCTTTCCAATTTAATCAATAATAAGCGAATGGTTTCGCATTTCAGCGAAATAAATTGCGCATAAATATGATTTTGTGTTAACCAAAATTGAAATCAATTTGCATTTTGTGTAGAGGATTTAGATATTGAGTCGATTGAAACGTCGACATTGCGTACGATACGCCAGGTTCGACAGGATGTACCGGAACGGTTAAACAAACGTCATAAACACTCTCCAGACCGTAAGTTTCGTTTAGATTCAATTGTTCATGTGTAGAAAACGTGTGCGACATGTCACCATCTATATATCTTCTATCTGTGTATTGCGAGGCGTTCCAAAAAAAAAAAAAAAAAACAAACAGCAAATGACTAAAAAGTCAACAAAAACAATATGTGTATCGTTCGTTAAAACCAATCCCTTTGTGTTGTCTTTTCCTCCCCGTTATAGTGTTCAATGTGTATACCATTCTGTTCATACATTCCTTTGCGTTCAATTGTTCAGTTAAAACATTCAAGTACGTAGCAAAAAGTTAATTTGTATCGAAAAATTAAAGGTTTTTTTTTCACATTCGATATGAGCCATTCGATTTACCTCATCAGGTCAAATGAATTCGTTCTGTTGTATCGCTCTTGAAAGTGAAAACGGTTATTTTGGCGTGTGATTATGTTATTGTTGTTGTTATCGTGTTTTCATATAGTTTGTTGCACGAAAGCTCAGCCATTTCCATATCGTTTGTTCGTTCGCTCGCTTTAATGTGAAAAGTCTTGAATCGATAAAATCAATTGTCTCGTGTGATATATATTTTTTTTTTTTGAAACGCATGTTAGTGTTACTGTGTGCTCTGCCATTGTCATCGTCAACCCGTTCCCCACTCGTAAATGTTACTCCTTCCAAAAAGAATGTTGTTGTCGTTATTGTTGTTGTACCTCCCTTTATAGCTAAACCGATCGCCTCGCATCTGTCTATGATCACCACTATCAACTCTATTAACACGCACTCCGAATCTAGATCAACCGTTGGTTTTTACGACCAAAAAAAATATTCATTTTCATTCTATTTGTCTTCTTTGTTGATATATTTGTGTTAATGTTCGCGCCACGCGTCTCGCCTCACCTCCAACCAATACATACATATACAATATAAATAATGAAAAGGCCGAATGACACCGTTCGTCGCCTTCGAGCGCTTATTTTTCGCTGTATTCGGTCAAACGACAAACGATGATATCAATCCAATGCCAAATCTGCGACCAGCGTGGACTGAGGGTTTCTTTAAAATAATTTTTGGCACATATTTGCTTGTGTCAGTGATTGTATTAATCAATCTATTGATTGCTATGATGTCGGATACATACCAACGCATCCAGGTGATTTAAGCATTCTAATCAATACAATTTTTTACTAATCAATCGTCTTCCCCTTTTCTCTCTTTCCCTTCCCATCCACCACATCCATCCTCCCTCTCCCCACTTTCATTCCGGTGTTTGTGTTTCCGTTTTCCATACTTTTTTGTTTAATTGTTCTTCGTCCCATTCGTTTATTATCGTTATTATTATCATTTGTGCGCTGTCCTGTCTCTTTCTCTGTTACTTTCTATCTCTGTCTGTTTACTTCCTTCTTATTTGTTCTTTTTTTTCATCGTCCTCCCCAAACCGTTTTTTTTTCGTTTCGTTTGTGTGTTTGCAGTACGCATGAATCCAATAGGTGGGTATTTTTGTATTCATTCAAATAGATGTATTTAATTGGTTTGGAAAAATAATTTCTTTTTATAATTAATTATTCTTCCTAAAGTTTCATTCGAATTGCTGTTTTTTGCTGTGTTCGGTCAAACAACCACCGATCAAACGCAAGTCGATAAAATAGGCAATACAAATCCTCCGCGTGATAAGCGTATGCAGCCACCAGAAACGGATTATTTGTTTAAAATTGTCTTTGGCATATACATGTTGGTGTCAGTTGTTGTACTTATCAATCTACTGATTGCTATGATGTCTGATACTTACCAAAGAATTCAGGTATTTTGTCCATCTCTCTCTCTCTCTCCTTGCTTTTTTTTCTCAAAACCGAAACCATGAACAAAACAAAGCAAAAACTATCAAGCAGTACAATTATCACCGGAAATCACTTCTATTTTTTGACTTCTCTCTACCTCTCTCGCTCTCTCTCTAAATCAAGTTGACTACTTCGTAGAATAACCACACCAAATTTTCCATGTCGATTTAATTAATCGTAACCGCTCGAATCATTTGTACAAAGAATCACTTGTAAACATTTTTGGTTTTTCAGTTCCCTATCGTTTTTTGATCCAATTATTTTTTTTAACCAACTTGCAACTTTGACTTTTGTTTTGAATATTTCAAATTCTTGAAATTTGTTTCCCACAAAATCAATTATGTAAATAATATTAGGAAAAATTCCCCTATAAATTGATTGCAAACTGGTTGTTTGATTCCGATGAATTTGACGAAAAATGATTTGGAATTTGAACTAACTGCTTTACACTCACCAAATCGGATAAATAACAATCGTAGTCGGTCTTGTATATAGTCGATCGTTTGCATCTAAACTAATCATTTTGTTCTACACATTTTGAACGAGTTTTTGCAGTTTGAGATGATCTTTTAATGCAACATATATGAGCAACCAAGTAAATTTATTGGATTCGAAACAGATTTTCTGATTGTGTGACAGCAAATCAGACATATTGGCTATTTGTATATACACTAATTTACTGCTTTCCAACTGAACTTATAAGAAAAACAAAAACGATCACCCCAACTTTTTTTTTACGTTAGAAACGTTTTGAGATTTGATTTCATACAAAATGCAGACGTAATCATGTATATTGTAAATAATGCAACAATAAAACCTACAACACAAGAAAAAGAAAACAAGTAACTGGTGACAACATTTGCGAAAAACAAACGACAACGTGCACGCAAGCAACAACGAATTGAAAGACACACTTTCAATTAGTGTATACACATACGATTTTGGGTCGATATCGATTCAAGTGTGTATAACGGCATAGCAAGATGCAGCAATGTACGATAATACACAGGAACCCCGTCGTAGATGATGTGAATTTGGATCTGACCAGCGAAATTGATCCAATTTTTACTATTTATTAAATTGGCTTTTGCAAATTGTGAAAAGTCACCTGATTCACAAATTCAAATTTACATTGTTTATTCCAAGTCATTGTCAATTTGAACGAGAACAAAACATATTCATTGTTTTGATTGTCACATAGAATTGTAACAGCCAATAAAATGAATAGTGGAAATACCCATAACTCTGTGTATAAAAAAACATTATTGGGCACTCAAGCCCCGAATGAATACAAAAAAATTACTTATTGACGAAACAAAAAAAAAATAAACATCAGTCTGTGTTGTCAGTGTTGTCTTAGTTAGATATTTATGCTACCTGTGTTACGTTCTAAGCATGTTGACGTTAGTTTGTACGGGTTCGAATTACTTTTTTTTCACGCTATTTTCACCATGATTGTACGAAATCCACATACTTGCTTTTTTTTTCTCTTTAACTTCGAAATGATTTTTAAAAGGCGGTTTTTCGTTTATTCTTCAGAATATTTTCCAATATTTTCGCACATTTTCATTTCCAGCATCATTCGTACCGCTTATTTGTATATTGCAGCAAGAGACACACACATCACTTGGTTTTGATACATAATATATTTTTATTTTGCATCCTCAAACCGCACCTGTAAGCATTGTTTTTGATCCACTTTTTTATATTACCCATTTCATTACTTTCTCTCTCTCTCTCTCTGTATATACTCTCAATCCCTTTATGCACCTATCAATTTGTGAAATTTACGATGCTGATAATTTCAAATCGAAACCAAACATTGACATGACATTGTAATATAAATAGGCTCAATCCGATATCGAATGGAAGTTTGGTTTGTCTAAGCTTATTCGAAGTATGCATCGAACAACAACCGCTCCGTCACCACTCAACTTAATCACCACATGGTTCATGTGGCTATTGAATGCATGCAAGGTAATGAGTTTCAATGAGTTTGACTAAGTTCAATATTAGCACCGCTGATAAAATGTAAACAACCATTTCTCACACACATTTAGATCAATTTTGAATTGATAACTAGATAGTTAAAACTCATTAAGAGCTAATTAAGAAATTGTTTTATCTTTTCTATGTAATGTTCAAAAATATATTTCTTTATTCATCATTAAATGTTTTCGTTGAATATCTTTCAATTCGATATTTTGCTCAGACCAAATTCAAAAAGAAGAAGAAGCAGAGCTTAGTGAATATGATGGGAATACGACAAGCAAGTCCGCGAACTAAAGCAGGTGCGAAATGGCTGTCTAAAGTGAAGAAAAGTCAGGTCGCTCCAAAGCAAGGTTTGCATTGCGCATGTGCTTTTTATTGTGTTCTATTAGTTTGTAGTTTAATATTTATTCTATATTTGAACGGCTGAGAATATTCGTTGGCCTTTTTTTTCGATACGTAGTTAAATGTGGAACTTGAAAAAAGTTGTACGAAAAAAAGGGACAAATGTTGTTGTAATCACGGCTTAAAAACCCCAAAAAAATTATTTTGATGAACCGTTTTTGCGTATCAACTTTTTCAAGAACCGTACTTCAGAAAGACGTAATAAAGTCCAACGAATATTCTCAGGAGTTCATTTCTATTTCGTTTTTGTTTGTCTTGACATGATCTTGTTTGTCGTCATGAATTTTCATTTTGTATTGTAACAATCAATATGTAGCTTAAATGTAAAAAAAAATCAGTCGATATTGATACGGGCAAATTTCTGTTTGAAAGAAGATAAAAAATGATCGTATTTTGTGAACTGAAGAAATTCGGTGAAAATTTTGAGAGAATAATGACAATATCTTGTCGATTTTTTTTTAGAAAACTTGTAAAAAAAACCTATCAATATCGACGTTTTTCAAAATCAAATAGACTCCCACATCCTCCTTCCAGCTATATCATCACTTTGAGTGTAATGTAGACATTCTCATTACATTGACCTTGGTTCATATATTTGGTTTAGTGTAGTCCTTAAAAATGATCATTCACACATTTCCCCTCGACTCCATCACATAGAATATGGTCCAGTTTATTCGTGCTCATCGTAAGCGTTTCCGTATTGTATTTCCCATAATATATATATTTGTTGTATCCCCTTTTTGTCGTCCCCAGCAGCTGTTCCGTTCCGGTTGTGTTCATTTTGTTATTATTATTCATTTGACGCCATTTGTGTAGTCACATGTTCACCATTGATTTAATCCAAAAAAAAAGTCAATTGACCGATTTATTTGTTTTGGTTACATATATCTAGCGTATGTGGAGCACAATCTTAGAACGGTTTGTGTTATTGTATCCTTGCAGCCTGCTATTATCGCAAGACAAGACTTACAACATACTTTTCTTTACTTTAAACAATCGAACAAAATTCAGCCCAACTCAAAAATCAAATATATATATATATATTCGAAATCAAGTCAATTCAAGTGAATGAAACATCCAAAGTACTATCAAACGAACAGAGAATCGAGATAAAAAATAAATTCCATTTAAAATTGAATTTCGTTTAGAAGTCGCTATTTTTTTTTTCCAATTCAGTAAAACAGTTTTGCATGTGACTGGCATATTTTTATGGGAATCAAGCATGAACAAACTAGCAACAAAAAATAGCGATTTCGATGAACCGAAATAGAATTTAGAGATGGTTCATCTATAAATTGAATCTCTCTTTTAAATGAATGGGAGAAGAGAGTTTCATTTTGACTTTTATCCATTGTTTGATTTCATACTAAAATATAACAAATTGCAATTGTTTTTCCCCAAAAAAACAGATTCCGTTGCGTTGTCGGTAGTACATCTGTCGCCACTTGGATCACAGTTGAGTTTTGCTCAACACGCCGGAACGCGCATCGAAAATGTCGTCGATTGGGAATCGATTGCAAAAAAGTACCGGGCTTTGTTTGGTAGTGAACCCGAAGAAACCGGTTCCATACACACTGAATCCGATAATCAATCGAACACATCGGGTGATGCACAACACGCTGCACCCGCACCGCCAGTCGGAAACAATACAGCTGCCATGAATCAAGTTTAAAGTGTAAATTGAATTGAGATACGTTTTGGTGTAGGGATTTATATTGGTTAAGAGCATATTGATTATGATTTCGATCGCAAGACTTTTAAGACAAAATTTCTTAAGTAATTTTCTCAATTGGTTTAAGGTTGCTAGTAAATTAGTGTCAATTTGATTGTAGAGTTTTTAAATGGTGTAAGGATAAAACGTTTTATAGCGAGGAATTTTTGCGTGGATCCATTGAATTAAGAATTAAGTCAATGTATAAAGCTCCTTAAGTGTATGTGGAATAACACAAATTGTAAGTCTTCGTTTGCGATTCAACGTGTTTTGAAATTGCAAATCTTGTAATTACACACTCGAGAAATAAACAAAGTAAATTTGAAATTCAGACAATGCGTTTATTTTTGCTTTTTGGATGATCAGGTCATTAAAATAGATTTCCAACAGGGAAATCAATTGTTCTTATTCGATCGTTTCATTTACGTTTAAAAATTCTCGTTTCTCTTAACCGACAATCAGAGCCATCTAGAACTTTATCAACGAATCAATCACCTTCGTTCGTGCTTTACAGAGTGCTTTCCAGTGAAGAAACCGCTTTTAGAAACAGTTTTAGTTTCAAAATATTACGCTCTAGGTCAAATTGGCGCAGTTTCAACTGTTTTCTTCTTTCTCCTTCCTCTTTTTGTATTTTTTTTTTCACATTTCCATCCTTTAAAAAAAAAAAACATTATTTTGAACTTTAAAGCCAATTTTCATGGCAATGTTTGGTTTCGCTTGCTATAGAAAACAAAAAAATCATCAAATATTCTTCGATTCATCATTAAATTACAATTCATTCTCTTTGCCATACGATTGTCCAGAACAAATAGCCGAACATTGTTCAAATAAACAGTCATTTTTTCAGTTTGGTCGAGGCTCGTATTTTTCGTCAAAAATTCAATAAGAATTAAATTTCCACCCTGAAAATTACAAGTATGTTGCCACTTCTGGTGACATCGTTAGCGTTGTACGGCCAATAATCATAAGCGTTGATTCAATCCACTACTTGATTCAATCATAGACAAAAGTGTCGTTAGTATTTTTTTTTTCCACACTTGTCCTTTAATTTGTGCACATAAATCGTCAATAATAGGACGGAGCGCAGCGAGAAAGAAAAAAATAAGAAGACAACAAAGAGAAAAAAGCAGAATATCTCTCAATCCCAGGTGCATTTAATATTTTTCGCGTAAGACACTGCGATTATGTACATCTAAAATGAGCCGAGGCTAAAGCGAGAATGCAAAACGAAAGAGCACCGGGAGAATGATAAAAATTGTATACCATGTGCTGAATAGGCAACACACAGAGGAAGAGAGAGAGAGGGAACGCAATTTGAATCATCGGTTTGCTGAAGCAATAAAGGAAACAAGGAAATGTTCTTGGGAACGATAGCAGAAAAAAAAAACACCCAACAAGAACCGGAGCAAATCCATTCGGAAAGAAGTATAAATGTTGCATTGAGACTACAATCGGTTGGAGGTAAGTTCGGAGCTTCGTCTCAGCCTGAATAGAAGAAAATTCAATAAGAATGATGATAAGGCGATGGTGTGAGAGTGCAAAAAAGATGGTCGAATCAGAGAATTGTTTTTTTTCTTCTTCATCATTCTTTTGCTTTTAAATTCAGCATCACTTACACTTAATGCCACATGAAGAATTGGTCATTTTCCTGCTGCTTGGATTTTCAAGAGATTTTCCGCACATTTGTTCTCCCCATTCCTGGTGACTCACACGAAGAATAGAAAGAAAACGGAAGAAAGAGAGAAAAAAATCCAAGAAATTATGAAGAAAAACTAAAGGTAAAACGAGGCGAATCCGCATGCCACGCCAACTCTCTACCATCGTCCTTCATCTTTTTTCTCGCTCGAGCATTCTTTTGTTTTTATGTGAAAATGTTTTCCACCATTCCATCGTATTGCGTTTTTCTTTCTCTTCTTTGATTGCATGCCACATAATCATGAAAATAAAGGGGATCTCCTTCCGGTCGTTTGAGTAGCAACTGAACAAAAATGTGTTTCTTCCTTCTTCTGATAAACATTGATATTAATTGAGTGGACGGAGTGGAGATACGAAAGGTGGATGTGATTTTATTGCTTACGGCTAAACCGCATTTTTTTTGCCGCTCTTGTCAGTCCAACAGAAGAAAACAAAGTATATGAAGAACCCGAACAAAGGAACAAAACAATTGTTTATGCGACCAAGAAAATGCGCAACGAAATAAACGAAATCACAAGCGAAAAAAAAATTATAACTTTGATAAAGTTACCCAAACTTATTATCTGGACGAATACAATAACAATGTATTGTATATATGCGATTGCACCTGGCTCAATGTTTCGTTCTCATTCGTCGTCGTCGTCGTCGTCGTTGCTGTTGTCTTATGTACAATGTTTCAACTTGAGTCGCACATCAGACGCGCAACGACCGAACAAGATGTGATTTAATTAAGCTGCAATAAAAGAAAATCCGTTTTTGCTACATTTCGCAATAAATTAATGAGCTTTATTGACTGAATTATGGAATGAAATCTAATTTGCTTCCGTTTGTCATACAAATTTTATGCATTCGATTAAATTTTTCGTGACACTTTACTTAGAACATTTTTCCTTCCGATTTTTTTTCTTTTCGGTTTTCAATTTTATTAGAAACAAAAAAATCCGAAGACAAAATGTTCTGAGCAAAAGTTACGCATTTCGATGAAAAATAATAAGATACCGCCATTACACAATACGTTAATAAATGCACATGATTATGACACACTAACAATTACATTTCATTTTCAATTTTTAAGTCTCTTTTTCGAATCTTTTTTTTCATTGAATGTTAATTCAATGTGCTTGATGTTTTTATACTCCAATCTGATGCTAATGAAAATTCTATTGGTATTAATATTGTAATTTTCTATAATAAAATAATGGTGAGACCTTTTGAGCTCAATTTGCGATGCAAAATCAATTGGTCCAATCATTGATTCCGTTCACAATTTCGTTCTCTGTGTGTTAAATGGTATTTTGAGTAGTTGAAAAGCACATTGATTTCGGGTCAAATATTTGGGCTCTAAAAGACATTGGATCACAGCAGTGGTCAACTGTTTGATATGTTTGAACTTCTGATGGAGTCAATGGGACGGGCAGGCGGGTGTTCGCTTGGGCGATTAAGTGCGCTCGCGCAAAAAAGAGAAAATGCTGTAAAAAGTCATTTAATGAAATTATTGATCGAGATGTTTGTGCATGCAACACAAATTTTCAGGTAATTTGACAGGCGGTAAACAATGAACCACAGGTTATTTCTCTCTCTCTCTCTCTCTCTCTCTCTCTCTCTCTCTCTCTCTCTCTCTTTCAGCTCCATTTCATGTGCTGCTTTTTGTGCTGCCGCATCAGAAACAACCAGTTTTTTTTTTTGCTTTTCCCAAAGTGATGTAAATCATAAAATATCAGAGAGTGTAAAAGCAATGAGTAGAGTACAGAAGGGCGATTTAATAAATCGATGTTTATTGTATTGCTGTTGGTGTTTTTCGTGTGGCACAGTCATTTAGCATTTGCTTTGTTGAGTTACAAGCCCACGAAATTGTCTTCGCTCGTTTCATTGTATTTTCAAGAAAACAACAATGTTTATTTCGATCTGTGCGCTATGAATAATATTGGTATAGTTTTGTATGGCTTATGTCATCTCGATAAGTATGCATGCATTTTGGATTTCCGTGAAAACGATGACGGCGGCGACGTCAACGGTGATTTTATGGTTGTGGTATTTAGCTCTGTCATCCGTTGAAACGATGACATACGTGATTTGAATGCGTTACAATCGGGAAGAATCGGCCGCACGAATTACGGCTAGTTAATAAGCAGACGAAGAGAGGAGTGGATTTGAATTGAGTGCGGTGAATGTCATTCATATTCTCTAAATAAGTGACGATGCACACAATATCAAAAAGCCTCAACCGGTTACAATTGAATGTTCGAGCTGGGTTTTTTTTATTCTGCTGCGAATGGGGCGGTTCGTAATATCATTTGCACAAAATACTCTGACGATCGAAACGTAATTCACTCCTTTCACATGGCAATGCGGCCGTCTTACAAAAACTCACCCAAAAGGCCGACACAAAGCGAAACAACAACAAAAACGGCAAAATTTCGCTGACGATAACATAAAGGCGCGCGAGAGACTCGAACAAAATAACCATTAGCCACCAACTAAACTCTCTTAACACACCAAAGTGTTAAATGAACAAAGCGAAAAAAGCCGACGAACGATGCGCGCTAGTATCTCTCACACGGTCACTAAAACAACAGCACACAAATCGCTGGCACATGCAATCGAGAAATAAATAAAACCCGAACAACACATCGTTCGTTCGAATCGGTGCATATCTCGAGAGAACGAGAAAGAAGAAGCGAACAGAAAAAAAGTAACGCGGCTCGAACGATGATAGCACCATTCTCGCTCATATAAATGAAATGAGCAGATTTTGTTTTACACACTCACATACTTTTGCGAAAAAAGGAAGAGAGCGAGAAAACAGCGCAGCACACCAAAAGTTAACTGCACACTAATCGTTTTGCCATTCCAAATGAGAAAAAGAAGTGGAAAGCACAGCGTTGAACGCAACGACGGACACCGATAAAGAAATAATGAAAAGTATCGATGAAAAACCGGCACACAGCTCAAAAACGGTAGGTACGAGATATGGCTTTTGTTTCGCTGTGAATTGTGTGTATGTGCTCTGGTCTCGTTTCTGTTTTTTTCCTCTTTGGCTCGTATTCCTTGATGTTGTTGTTGCTGCCATCCATTCATTATTATTATGCTCATAATTAGACATTTGCGATGAGCTCACCTATTATCGCAGCGTTGATTACAGAGCGGCAATCCTTTGCTTCACACTTCGAAACCATAATTTTGATCAGCACACCATTTAAATTGTGCTCGCACTTTCTGCATATCTTCGTCTTCGTCTCTGTCTCCGTTCGCTCGCTTGCTCGGCATCCATCTCGATCGATCTGTTCTTCGGGACACGCGGTTGTTGCCAGTGAGCGAACGAGAGTGTGTGTGAGAGAGAGAGAGAGAGAGAGAGAGAGAGAGAGAGAGAGAAAGAGAGAGAGAGAGAGAGAGAGAGAGAGAGAGAGAGAGACAGAGCAAGTAGAGATCGGGTGAGATGATGATAAAATACATCGGCGCGAAAATAAAAGAGAATTAATGCAATAAGAATTTTCCGTAACGCGTGAAACCAAAAATAGCCCCGACAACGACGATGTCGACGACGACAACAACAATAGCAACGGCAACGGCCAACAAATGATAAGAAAATGAATATTAAAAGAAACGACCCAAAAGAGTATCATCAAGACAATTTTT